TGACAATGCATTGATCAATCTTAACAGAGCATTGGAGATTGAACCAAATAACACATATGCACTGAGTAGAAGGGGAGCTGTCTATCTGGATCTAAAACAATATGACAATGCATTGATTAATCTTAACAAAGCATTGGAGATTGAACCAAATAACATAGATGCATTGTGTAATACAGGAGCTATCTATCTGAATCTAAAACAATATGACAATGCATTGATTAATCTTAACAGAGCATTGGATATTGAACCAAATGACACATATGCATTGAGCAAAAGGGGAGTTGTCTACCTGAATCTAAGACAATATGACAATGCATTGATCAGTCTTAACAGAGCATTAGAGATTGAACCAAATAACAAATATGCATCAATTAATAGAGGAATTGTCTATTCACGTCTAAGGCAATATTAATATGATAATTAGATAGGGGAGCTGTCTTACTATATATATAGAGATCTAAAACAATATAACAATGCATAAGAGCATTGGAGATTGAACCAAATAACACATGTATTGAATAATAGGGGAGTTTAGAATTGTCTATCTGAATCTAAAACAATATGGCAATGCATTGATTAATTTCCTGTCTCTACATTATCAACACCAATCATCTCTAACTATAACCCAATTGTCGTTTCCCCTATGGTTCTTGCCTCTTGTGTCCTACACCAATCTTCCTGCCAACTTCATCAACTGAAACAATCCCACAGCAATATCACAGGTACCTTCTCCATAATCAACTGATGGCAGATGATTACTATGAACCAAATGGTATCAACTCCAATGAGTGTGATAGAGGAGAACTGGTAACTGGATGGGAGTGTGGTTGCATAGAAAGTTTACACACATATATAGTATTATGTTCCGAATTTTATTATACTAAGAAAACAAACAATAACACCGACATTAATCTTTTTCTCTTTAAGATTAAACAAAATAATTGTCAATATCTTGACTGTTAACAGTTGAGCGATTATAGCAAGGCCGAATTTCTTATTAAACGATTTGCTAATGTTAGAATTATTGAATTTCGATGCTGTTGACTGAATCCGACGTCATCGATTTTGCAATTTAAAAATATGTCAAACTGTTATTGTAACGGATATTTAATTGCGTCCTGTCACGAAAGTGACAATCAAATTAAATTTAGTTTGTGACAGGATCCAAAAATTGTGTCCTGCCTACTTATAAAATTCCATCGTTGATGAAATAGTGATAAAAATTTTTGTGGTTCAATGAGCAAATAATAATTTATAATATAAAATACTACAATCCATAATAGTAATTCATGATATAACAAATATCCCGCTTCGTACTGTCGTGCGTAATCTCAAAAAACGGGTTACCGCTGAGCATAAACGAGGAAACGGACGCAAACCCAAAACAATCTCACGCGTCATTGGACAGAATATACAGCATAATAATGTTATTTCAACCAGACAACTTGCTGCAAAAATAGAAAATATGCAAATTTTACATGTTACTATTTGGGATTATATGAAAAGAACGCCGATATTCACAGAACGGTATGTTGATATGCGAAAAGCATGGGCACAGGCGCATGTGAATGACAAATGGGACCGAATAGTGTGGGGATAGACCCATTCGAAAGCTATGGTCGTGCCAACGACTGCGGGAGAGCATTCAATGGAATTTAGCTACTCCCGCACGGAGCATGGCTTCTCCTACTAGTAGTTAAATATCGGGTCACAGTAGTGACCTTTAAACTAGACTTTCCTGTTTACGACTCACGGCGTCGAGGAGTAGACGATAATTAATCTGCCCTCGAGTACAATCATGGTTAATTATCGTATTCGCCACGAGAATAAGAGGCGATTATCTTAATCAATATAGGGATTAGTGGTTTTATAACCATACCGATAATTTACCAGGGAATGAATCATAAATAATGTATTTATTTCAGAGGTTGTGTTACCGCTGTTACTAATCGAAAATTATTTGTGGTACCATCGGAGTTACGCAGAAATTTACACGTCATAATTAAATCCGGTATATATTTACGATTCACGGCTTTCACGGCAACAACACTACCTCCTCTCTCGTTAACATGATTAGTAATATGACTGTTCGGGTGGAGACTACGGACTCATCACTACTACAGCAACAACAATAACACACCTCCTCCATCTTCTCGAATAAGCACATAGTATTCTTAGCCAGGGCGGCCTTTTCGAAAACGGGAACGGACAAAATTTGGTTATGACGGCGGCAACACGTTTGCGTTCGTATGTATCATAGTCTGAGAACCAAGTTTATGTTCTTCTCGCCGCAGTAATGGGACTCCCTTATTTTTATTTATTTAAGGTTGTTCTTTACAATGACAAACAGATAAAAACTTATTGTAAACAAAGAACGCGCTTTACGCTTTTTACTCTTTGACAAGATAATAAGCGGCTTTCTCACTTTTACTGTGGCTTACAATAACAGCGCTCAAACGACTTCCTTCGTTCCAAGTTTGGTTGTGGCAACACAGCTAACGAGGGACGGAGAACAGAGCCGAGCTACTCTCGCTTATTATTCGAAGTTCTGCCCTTCGATCTAAACATGCAAAGAAGAATTGAAAAAAAAGAACTCGAAAAAGAAACAACATTGATCTGGTGTAAAAGAGTTTCCGAGAGACTAGGTAAGTATATATAATACACATGTGGATTAAGTTTCGACTAGTATTGATACATATTATAGTTTATAGGCAAACATTCTGGATGGTCAATTTTATGTGCTCAAAGAATGTATGAGAGGAGCTGGCGTTTGCAACAGGACAATGAAATGCTGACGAGCTAATGAAATTTACGCCGAGGAAAGGGGGACAAATACGGCGATAGAATCTCATACTAAAATTATATTATTAAATAAAATAACTAATAATAAGTTGCATTCGTAATTGTTGAGATAGTTTTTTGTTTATCGCCGGTTTTTTTTAACACGCTATATATCGTTTGTTATATGAAATGATGTTAAGCTGAAGTGATGTTAGCTAACGAAACTACCTCTGCTTATACTTTTCTATCGTTCCTTATCTAATTATATTGTATTGGCGAATGCGTCACCATTAAGGCGCATGACATAATGTAATAACAATTGCTTTTCACTATTTATTTGCGTTTGCTAACCGAGCTATTCACAGTCGAAAAATATCACTCTTTTCATTCTCTTCTTTGTGTCTTAATCAGTCTTTATCACCTTTTCATTTGGCATAATATGTTTCTGACTGGTCGATACTTCTCCCGCTGCAGAGATATTCTCATAAATCTATTGTACTAAATTTAGTACAGACAGATTCCCGCGCTTAAGATAATGTGCATTTTGTATTAACTTGAAACTAGTGCATCAATTATGTGTACTAAACTTAGTACAATAATCAAACGGATTACACGTCATATTTCACTTTTTGTTGCCAAATAATACTGTATAGATCTTTTTTGAAACAAGAACAATCCCAGTCAACGCGTAACGATGAATATTCATCGTTCAGTCTGTATTAAAATAATACTGTCTAATACAATTTCTACGCAAATATTGAATAATGAATTTAAAAATAGTATTTTACATATGAACAGAGAAAGGATGATCATAGTATGATTGGTTAGATAAGTTACATCAATGATCTATTGCATCTAGATAATGTTCCGATTTAATACATACACAGAGGTTTGAGATTATAGAATTTACAAGTTCCACTCATTACGTGAAAGAAATATTGTCGTAAATACAATAAGTAATATAAGTGTCTTTGATTGAACAAAAATGTCAGGTGAACCGCTAGCGCTTGGTTTAGGACGATATGGATTAGGATTATCTTGTGTTGCATATCTACATGTAACCATTGTATATAAGAATCATTAGTATATTGCAACATCATGTATGAAAAACAACACTAGCAGGCTTTTACATACCCAAGACTTTCCAGTATTGACTTTAGTTGTGGACCAATACTACCACCCGAGTAATTACCTCCCTGAACAATAGCATCTCCCAAGGAGACCCCTCGATCTTGCAGATACCTCATCAAAAAGTCTGACGTGTCAGTATACTTTTTGTAATCAACGTGGCTCACACTAGATCCTTGAGAATATGGAATTAAACTAGTTTCTAAGACCACCCCTTGTGAAATATCAGTTTGTCCAATAGGCAAGAATACCATCGCACCTCTTGTTGTAGCATATTTGAACATCTGAGTAGCAAGTGAATACTGTGGTGAGCTCTTGAAGGCCCGCCCATACTGTTGTATTGTGGTCGCGCTCGAGCCAGAGGAGAACTGATTCAATTGTGCTGTGATCTCACTCATCCTCTGACCAGTATTGGCGATAACCATATACTTATCGAAAGCATATTCGGTAAAACCTATCGTTTGCTGTCCTCCCTTGGTTGTTGTAGAGATGTCCGGAGTCAGTGCCTCAGGTGTCATGTTGATGTAGTCATCCCAGGACGATGTAAATCCGAGACCATGGACGAGTTCGTGCAGAATGACAAACAAGAAATCGGATTGCGTGTGTTGGATTCCGCCATCGCCTTGAAACCAAAAGTTGGCTTCGGAATTGAAGAGAGCAACAATGTCGAAAGGGCCAAAATTGACAGATTGATCGGTTAGCTGCTGTTTTACTAGAGCCTGGGGGTACAACCGAATTGTTTGATCATCATCTTTCATTGGAATTGTACGCGCTGGTGCTGCACCACCTAAAATGAACAGCAAAAAGCCAATATGTTAGAGCAGAGACGAATAGCGGGGTTATTATGTTCATATACTGAAGCGATCTAATGCAAACAGTTGAATAACCAATCGATTACTATCGTTAATTAACTACGTCAACATATTTATGATGCACCATTCCACTCACCGAGAGTTAGATAGCCTCCGGGAGAAGCGCATTGATTCAATTGTTGACAAAAATTTAAGAACGTCGCATTGACGGTAATAGGTGTACTCAAACTTAACGTCTGTGATAACATTATCCCAGCCAAATCAAATGCATTTTTAACTTTTGCACACAGCGTCGTGCCTGCTGAACATGACAGAGAAATTTTGAAAGCATTCGTTCCAGTAGCCCGTTTTGATGTTTTAGAAGCGAACGGCCTCCAAGAACGCAGTGTTTTCATCCATGAAACAGATGATCGTATTCCAAGTTTGCTATTATCACATTCAACAGGGACATGTTTATTTCTATTAAGCGGGTCGATATTATCATAGCAGGTCAAGGCCGCTGTGTGATATGGATATGTGAGAAACAGAAGAGTTGTAACGAGAGATAATAGAAGCAGTGACGGTAATTTCATTATTCTTTTATTATCTCTGATAATAGATGGCAGAACTGTAAGGGTCGCAAAATAATAAGACTCCTTATTAATAGGGGTCTTTGGGTCTTTTACTCGGAGAAAACCTTTTTTCTATTAATAAAGATTGTTGTTTATTATCAGACTATTTATATTCTCACTTTGTAGATCATCAGAAAGGGGGTTACACAGTATGCGCTGTCGAAAACAAAGTAACGGGATATTTGGTGATTGGCGAAGACAGCATGGCGATAACAAGAGACGCAATCTACACTCTGCACCATTTTGGTACCTGGTACTCATTGAATGGTAAGTATATATATGTCAACCAAACTATGTGATCGATGGTCAAAAAGAAAAATTGTTATACTGATTTGCCAAGAGATCCCGACTGCCCAAAGATGCATCATTACTATTTCTGGAACTCCTAACAAACAATGAATGAACGCCGTCTACGTCACACCTGAACAATGCGTAATAGTGAGTTGTGGGATTTACCAAAAATAGCGATACCCAAGGTATTGTTGGTGTCACATCATAATCGGTCATAACAATGAATCAAAGCACTTGTTTATTCAAAAATTTCTATCAGCAATTGGAAAAGTCAACACTGCGCATTAATATGCGTGACTAAAATCAATCTCTTTATCCGGATTTACGTGTGCTACTTCCCGATTGATCTCTTTTCAATCAGGTGTTTTATATTTCGAGTAAGAGATCGTGCAGAAAAAAATGGTTCTAAAAAAATAAGTTGCTTAAACTTTGTCAAGTCATATGTGCAAGTTACAATTATGGCATATAAATATGAAATTCTAAAGTAAAAAAGCTTACGAAAACAAGAGAAACCAGGGTTCGAGATAACTTAAAATATGAATGCGGAAATCATTTGTTTAAAATGAGTCAACAAGCCAATTTTGTCATTTGTACATCTAATCTAATAATAACTATGTGATTATGATAATAATAGAAAATTACACAAAATATGTGACTATCGAATTCTTATTTTTCGGGAGCACAAAGGCTCGTCATTTCACAACTATTCTGACGAGAGCCAGCCTATTACTATTACTATAGTGGTCACACCCCTGCAGCTCGTTATGTAACCATTTGCATTCCGGTATAATGCAAGCGATTTTACTTGGGTTCGGGCATTTTACGTTTTTACTTCCTTTTTTATTGTTAAGATTCCTTCCTTCTATTATTAATTAAATGTAAAGTATAAATGCATTTACTGATTTCAGAAATCATCCCATAGCTGCAGTTTTGTATTAGTCATATGGGGTAAAAATTTCTGCCGACTAGTATACATTTGTTAAGCGTATGCCAATGTTTTGGCATGCCAAGGAGCGCGTTCGTATTACAAAGTCTGCGTGATTAGAGATGACGATGATACATAGTAATAGTGGCTCAGATGGATAATCAGAAGATCCAAAGTGTTTTGCCAGCGCCAATCCAGACGTACTTGGCAGAAATTTAGGCGTAATAGTAAACCGAAGATTCCGTTGAACCGAGGCTAACGTCTCGAACTAACGGCTTCGGTTTAACGGAACCACTATGTATAAGTTAATCAGAAATTTTGAGACTGCAAAGCGAGCTTGAGAGTTCCTTGTAAAAAAACCCCCCCCCCCCTTTTTTTTTTTTTTTGAAATATCGGCCGCAGCTTATTAAACCGCAAATACATGTGCATGTGAACAGTGTTTTCAGAAAAGTTATAATATAACTAGAGAGAATCTTCTTGGTTCTACCTTCTTGCTGACATTCACCTCCAAAATAATATACACGTATCATATGAAACTGTTGGGCTATTCGAGTTCGCGAAGCGATTCGAGGACGTGGCCGAACTTATCTTAGCTTCATCCTATCCTGGTCATAAAACAAGCATGTTAATATCCCAAATATAATGATGGATATACTTGTTGACATGTTATTAGTAAAGATTTATCTCACCCCCCACCAAGTATTTGCGGATAAATACATAGTGATTATATTATAAACAAAATTCTATAAAAAATCAAAATTCATCGTATGTCAAATATTAACTAACTTCTATCAAAAATGCGGATTATCTAAAGTCGCTGTACAAGCAAATAATGAGAATAAGGAAGGAATAGCAAACAACAAAATCTAAGAGAAACTGACAGCATTACATCTCCTGACTATTAAATCTTCACAATGTCAGATAACTCGATCATCGAATAAAATCCTGAATATTAAGGGATATTAAGATAAAAAAAACTACAGACGACAATACCAACTTTCATGAACAAAATGCTATTTTTCGACTAGTCTTCGAGTATCTAAAATTAAATGTAAAACTGTTAATACTTGTCACCCGCTTAAATCTTCGACCGATCCATTCTGACTTACTTGTGACTTTAATTCCTCCCCACTCAACCGATCTATTGGTGACTTCCCCTTCTCTTCAGCCTCTGGCACCACAACGTCTTTCGCCTTTCTCAATACCTCTCCTTCCTCAATCTCTAGCAGTTTTCCTAGCTCATCTATAGGACTTTTCGGCCGTCCCTCGTCTTCGCTGTAGGAACCACTTGGAGTACGAACAACTAGTGAGAAGCTATTTGTACACAATGGTACATTATCATCATCACAAACATCATCGTAGTCATCTTCATCGTCCGAGTCAGCAATAGAAAATGTCGGAGATAATGATATTTCATTCGGAGGTGGAGAAGACATAGGGAAGGCGGGGGTCGTTGGCGAAGTCGGGGACGTAACCTTTGTGGTTGGAATTCTGGAATTATATGACAAAGTCGGGGACATAACCGTTGTGGTTGGGGAATGATGTGACGAAGACGGGGTAAACGGATGGGCAGGACTGAAGACGAAAGGTTTAGGGGATATAGGTGATGAGGATGGGGATGAAGGTGATGATTTCGTCGATGCGTTTACGGAAGACGTCGATGGAAGACTATACATTTTAGCGTAATTTTGCAATGATGCGGTTAGGCGATCGTTCAGTGTTAGAAGGCGCTCTAAGTAATAGTTGAGAAGACAACAAAGTTAATAATATGTTTGAAATGATCGGCGCCAAATAAACGGCGACGCAAAAATACGGGTTTGAAAACGAACCTAGTAATTTCTCATCGTCAATAGTAGTACTTATATGTGACCCAATTTTGTGCTGCAAATCCTTAGTCTGTGCGTTCAGTTGCTCCAATGTGTCATTACTCTCCTCGGTCATTTTACCTTTATTATTTGCCATCATTGAATCAAATACATTCAGACTCTCCTCAGCTATTTTCATATCTCTCTCAATTCTGTCTGTATCAAAGTCCACGCTCGAATCGTCCGTGTCAAAATATTCATCCTCCAAGTCGGTTTTAAATCTACCATTTATTCCTGAATAACATATTGAATCCGATAATGGATCTGCGTCATTTAGGATTTCTTTTGAGGCTAATTCTGTATTTCTCACACATACACGGAGTATGTCGCGTGCTATACAGACCAGTTCCTTGTCATTTTGCTGTGGGGAACAAGAATTATTATAGAGTGAGGATTCAAATGCATGCATTAACCAAGCAAAGGTTGACCATGTAGACAAATTCATCTGACAAACCGGAACGTTGATGTCCAAACGGCAAACGCTGTGGTTCATTTTGATTGATGCAGCTAATGCCATTATACCAGCAGTGCCAATATTCGGATTGTCCATCAGATCCAGATGTGTAAGCTTGGTGGTCTCAGGTAGGAATTCAGCGAGCGCTATAGTACCCTCCGAGCCTATGTTACAATCAGCAAGGAACAAGTCACGCAGTGTTTTGTTTACCGATAAAGCATGGCGGAGTGCATTAACCTAACAAATTATTTTATATTCGTTGAATTTAACGTTAATATCGTTTGAGCAAGTTTTAGATATCAATTGTTGCACTATTTACCCCATCTATTGGATAATTCCCGATAGGATTGTGACTCAAGTCTAGTATTTCTAATGTCCGATTGTGTTTCTGTTTAGAAATTAGCAAAAAGGTGTGCATGTTAGATAAACGTCCGGGGAAATTGTTGGCTGCATATTAAACTCTTCCAATAGCACGTACCAGTCCTTCGGCAATAAAAGCCAATCCCTTTGGATCTATCCTACAATCAGCTACACGCAATTCCTTAAGGTTGCGGTTCCGTCGTAATGCTTGAGCGATATACTGGACTCCAATCTATGCAAAGAAATGAATTCAATAAAGTCGTTCGTTCGGCATCCTCCCCAGTCTGCCTGCATTTCTGAACAAACCCTTCACTTTACGCTTATCAACAGCAATCATCAACTAACCCTGAAGTCATTCCCTGAAGCATCCAATATTTCCAGCTTTCGACGCATCATTCGGTGATTCCCTGCATTCTCCTCAAGTGATGAGAAACTACTGAGAGAGCTCGTACTCTCATTATTCCATGCCATATCATCATAGTCACGAAGCATTACTCCTACCCATACGGCCCCAAATTGATTGATTCGGTTAAAACGGATAGATAGACAACGTAAATTTGAACGACGGATGCCAGGACCTAACCGTAATAAATCGTAATAGAATTACATTTTTAGTAATAGCGTTCAGAGAAATAAACAGTTGTGCTGTTAATTATGAAACAGAATGCTGGCGCGACATCGAAAGATGTGGGTTTAGCCGTACCTAGAATTTCCAATACATTATTTTTCAGTCCACATCCGTCAAGTTTTAACGTGTCTAGCACCACCCCATTGCTACTATTTCCTGGAGATAGCGCCTGCGCCAGGTATAAAGCCGATTTCTTGTCGATGATAGTTCCAGACAAATCGAGATATGTCAATTGGGTAGACTGTAATGGGAATAAATATAATTTGAGGTGAAGACCTAGCAGCATGTTCGTAAAGTTGCCTGCATTACCCACTACCACCTATTTACCTTCTTGATATAAATGGCAATATAATTAAACCCATTGGATTTTATTTGCTTGTTGTCAGCAAGACTTAAATGCGTTAACGTATCATTTATTAATAGGCTATGGCATAGTATTTTCAACGTCTAACGGATAGTATAGCAAACAGAAGTTAATATTATGCGAAATATAAACAAACAGGAAACATTGAAAACATACATGGTCCTCAACAGCACATCGTTGCAAAATCAACTGTCTTAATCCACATTCCAGAGCAAGCACATCAGCAATTGGCTCAGCAACCTTACGGTCGATCATTTCACCTGAAAATACGAGATGTAATATAGAGCATTATTACTAACTGAATCGAAGACGGAGCGATTAATCTTTACGATCGTATCACATGATAAAGTTACCCGATAAATCCACCACTTTTACGGAACTTGATGGTCCAGTTATCTATAAGTTATGATGGCAAGAGAAAAGAATTTCACATAGAATATTAATATAAACCATTTTCTTATATTAAAATATCGGCAGGTACGAACTTATTATTGTCTTCACTTTTTTTTTGTCTGATCATCGTGAAAACCACCTCAAATATATCTTGTTAAAAGGTTTACCCATCCGCAGTTTCCCAGCATTACTATATAACGTACACATTATACAGTCACGATTCCTTTATCTTCGTCTCAAATTCACAAAAACTCCTGTTCTCTGTGAAACGTAGTATTCACTGCAACTTACCGTAAGAATGTCCACCATCCGATCCATAGGATATTCTTCTCTACTCTGACACGCGTCGAAATAAAATTGCAAAATCTCTCCAGAAGTATACACCTTTTCCCCCTCATCCACAACGTTCACTTTTTCATTGTCCTTCTCTATTTGTTGTTGTTGTTGTTGTTGTTGCTGTTGTTGTTGTTGTTGTTCCTTCTCCGCCAATTCTTCGAAATCATCCCAATCACTCTCATCACTATCTCGAGAAACCGGAGAATGCGGATATTCGTCTGTAAGATTAGTCACTGAAAACCGTACTCGCTTCAATGATGATGATGATAACCGCTTCTGATCATCACTATCGAGAGTATCGACAGAACTACTAGAACTATTATAACGCTGTTGAGAACTCACAGACTCATTCTTATTAGGTCGAGCCTGTTCTTGCACTGTTGCAACATTATTAAACTTTTTCAATGCACTAGCCAAAAACGAAGATGGTGTTGATGTACTCGTTGAAGACGCTGCAGCAGCATTTTGAATACGCGTGTTGAGCGTAGATAGCCAATCACGTTTCCATAACGGCCGGTTTGTTGGCTGACTTGGCGGTTTTAGGATGCCCTTCTTTGGCTGAACCATGGGACTCGGATATTGACGTTTCGGACGAGATGATTGTTGAGAAGTAGATATTGGGCTTAGGATGAAAGGCACTGTTTCATAGGATAGCCAAAAATACATTATGTGATAAGTGCTGCCAACAGTTATAAAGGGTTAAATTTTAGGAACCTAAAGGACTAGATATTATGTTGTACTAACCTTCGTTCGGATCCTTTTCGTCTTTCTCACTATGCTCGTTGTCTACTACAGTTTCCTGTTGCTGCTGTATTAATAACTGCAGAGCAGCATTGAATCCACCATCTTTCGTCTTTCTAACAGCAAGCTCGGCAGAAGTAAAATCAAATCCCATTTGAATCAGCCTTGCCAATATTTCATCATTCTCGGTCAAGTCAGTCTGTTTTACTACTGTCTTCCTGTCAGTTAATAAAAAAGTCGGATCTGTCTTTGTATGATCAATAAGCGTAACATCGATCGTTACGGGAGACGAGTCTGAATCGGCTTGTTTCTCTTCTATGCTTAATGCTTCTGTGTCAGTCATGATATGACGGGTGATTTATAAGGAGTGTGAGGAAGGATTTGTAGTAAGAGGTGAAGGAGAGGTGAAGGGTGAGGAGGTGAGTTGTGTGTGTAAATGCCGAAGTTGTAGAGCAATATAGTCGGAAGCGTATGAGTTGTGCACGTTTGCTTGGCTTAAATTCAGTGGATCGTGAGAGCCAGCCTCTATGAATTCTCTATTTCGTACGATGTAAGGACAGCCACAGATGTAAGATAAGAAATATATTGAGAGCGGAACAAGTCGAAGTAAAAAAAAGCAAGCTGCCCTTGAACGGTTAACCGAAAATATGAAATCAGGAATTCTCACCTACGACTATGCCTGTATAGCTCCCGGTTTGATATGCGAATCACCTCTTCTCTTGTACAATAAATAATGCAATAGTACACACACAAGAAATTATTATCTCCTGGTCCGTTTGTGTACCCACTAATACTAATTGAAGAAACTCCCCCTTTGTCTATTTTCGGAAATGAATATTTCATATACATGAGCCTGACATGAGGCGATCGTTGGAGTCATTTACTTTGAACAATGGTTCTGTGCGAAATAACCAAACAAGGTGATTTTTCACGGAACGTGTTGATCGACTTTCCCTATTTAAAGTGTTCTAGAATTAAACCCACTTTTGCGGTCCATTTTGTTGTGGAACGTGCGGACCGCAGAGGTTGCTCGAATTTCAATAGACTAAAAGCTGTGAATCCCACTTTGATGGCGCTGGTTTGTTAATCGACATAAATGACAAATACATAAAATGTATATTGTATCAACATCTCGAATGACAATGTAATGCACAAAATTCAATTATAAATAGATTTTCGTGATACTAAAGTATGATCCAATCTTCGTTATATTTGGTAATTGGGGATGTCCAGTATAATAACAAGGCAAAAATCCTTCCGCCTGTGTGATGTGCTCTTTTCCTTTTTTGTTTAAAATTTTCCGACCCGGAGAGCTCCAATAACCCAATGTTTGACTATATTGAAGTTTTAAGATGCAAGTAAGCAGTTTAGAGTTACGTGAACGAGAATGTGATCTCGACGTTTCTGTCATGAGCTTAAAAGAAACTTGTCTAAAATTTACTAGCCGGATAAATAACTTCTGGGGTAGGATTAAGGATACCATTTCAAGTCAAATATTGTTTTCCACATAACTAGTCTGTATTAAATCAAAGCGAAGGAAACTCTTCTTGATACTTCTCATCTTGTTTGTGCCTATCATTTCCCCTATAATACGTAGCGGAATTTCGTGACCACTCAGTTCTCTTCGTCTCACTTCGATCATAGCTAGCATAGTTTCGACCATCATATCGGACATTCCTATAGTTATCGCCATTACGATATCCTTCAAAGTTTCTCGCGTAATGCGCACCAGTGTTACTACCACCCCGCCGGTACCCTCTCCTAGAATAGCTGCCTCTTCCACGTGTTCTACCCTCACGATGATGATTCGACCTCAAGCTTACCAACCGATCATGCGTTGCTGGAACCTCGTCATATAATCTTCTCATTATTCCATCTATTGTTGGTTTGTCATAAACTGGTTCCTGCTGCGGTTGAAGATAAATAATTCGTTCGAACCCTTCTTCTATTTGAGGAATGGTGTAATCTTCACGAAATTTCTCAAGGATTTTGACACCGTCTCGACCTTCTACATTTGTTGGATGATTGGCACGGGCTAAAATTCGAGATTGAGCGAGCTAATTGGAGAAGGTTAGAAAACTGGGGGTAAAGCCAGTAAGAGTAAAATACCGACATAAAGCTCACTTCGTAGGGAACGTCCATTACAATCGCATCTACGTGAGCGTCAAATTTCCAAGCGATTTCGATCCATGTTCTTCGCTGACTTTTGTTAAAGTTGCATCGATCTATTATCACATTTTCGTTCTGTGTACAAAATGCAATGTATGAATGCATGTTAATATAAGAGATCTACAAGTCTTTTTAAAATCTTTACCTGTTTTAATCGATATTTCGTGAGGTCTTCACAAGCATTACGAGTCCCAAGATCGTCTTGGCTTACTCTCACCCAACCCTAGATACAGTTAGGAGGCGTTATTAGCACAATGATAATATAACCATTCCATTATCGAAGAGGAGAAATCAAACAATACCTCGAGAGTTTCGCATAGTCGTGTAGAAAACAAAGTCTTCCCAGACCCTGGTAATCCACAACAAACAATTAATCTCCTTGGATATGATTGCGATGATATTTGCGGTTGTGACTGATAAAAATACGGAAGATGCGTTACGTTCAATTGCGTTGTATCCTGTTAGTTGAGACGCTGAAATGTATGCATAAAAGCTTTGATGTATCCTAACCAGTCATTCATCTGTTACTTTTTATGATGATTCTGGTTGAGACAGACCATTCATTGAACTATACTTGCCATATTTATGTTTTGGCCAAGTTGAAAGGTCGGAGTCACAATAAGAGCACGTGCAGTATTTATGCAGTTGTACAGGTAAAAATAATCACGAGTCTAATACTATTCGAAACTGCTTTGTATAATCAGTGAGATAGTGGACGATTTTGTAAACGGTCGATAATAAAATAACAGAATACCCAAAAAGCCTTTTACTTTGGCTAGACAATATTTTGCAGAAAGTAGTACACGCTGAATAATTTGTCCGCACACTTGCAAAGTGACTTGTTATGAAATTACAGATTAAGGATTTTATGAAACCGTCTTTTATTGTCGTTCTAGTATAAATAAACAAACTTGGTCCTATATAGCATTTAACCCATTCTCCGCATTTGCGGATAGAAAATATAGAAATAATAATCCTCTAAAGCTACAATTACACTTGTGGAGTCGCGGCAGCATTAGTAGTGGTTGTGGGATTCTGAGCACCCTTATTAGATACCATATCAGAAACAGAAAAGATAGATTTCGTTTCGTTTGTCTTGCTTGATGACAAAACTGCCCCCATATCAGAATAGAATGCATTCAATTCATCCTCGACTGTGCCTAATAAGATAATAATTTGAGCGCAAGAAGCAAAGGAATAACCCCAATAATTCAAACTTACGGATATTATCTTCCTCCTTTTCTTTTTCGTTTTTCTGCTCATCTTCATTCACAATCATCTCGTGTTCTTCTACACGCTCTTTCAATTTGGGTTTGAGTTTGGGTTTCTCCTCTTCCTTTTCAATTACAACATCCTTATTGTTCACAACAGGCCCAGAATATTCTACTGCATACGCCTTTTCATCCCAATATGATAACGCAACTCCATCATCGCCCCAAATTGTCCATTCAGTCGTTGCATAAACTGGCACAAAACTTCCGGCGTGAGCGTAATTCAGTGATACCTGCCTCGAATCGATAACGAATCCATCTGGATAGTATTCTCGATTGCGCGTCAAATCCAAAACATACGATGATGTCTAAACACGATTCGTGAACGTTGTTTGCGTTTCGGGGAGAAATTGTCATGCAGCAGAAATTAGTTGGATAAAAAGTTTGGATTTCACTTTGAAAAGGTCGATCATACCTGTTCATCGTTATATTCCAGAAAAGCAAAGCCCCATGACATTCTGGATAATCGATCTTTTATTAGTAATACTCGACGGAGAGGAGATAATGGGGATGTTGCGTTATATAAAGATTCCTCGGTGGTGAGTGGATCTAACCCGCGCACAAGAAGGATATGATGAGGAATTTGACCGATATCTTGAGAACCGTCGTTGTAGAATGCACTTGTCGGAGCCAGATGCAATGAGCCAGATACCATGGATTCTGTATGGCATAAATAAAAGAAACAGTACAAAAGTGTAAACATTCTTATCGACACATAGATTTAGCCAAAGTCGTTCATGCAGCAAATGCAACGAGAGATACTGTTAATTCTTCGCATGCGACTTTGGCCACTTGGATGGACAACCACAAATTCATATGGTTCCATGAATGATGATATACTGTTGTAAGCAATCCGAAGAGCAAGCACACCTCTTTTCGAGTGTTGACACTGATGACAACTATCACACTTTTTGTAATTGAGAAAACCGCACTGTTTTTCAAACAACGGTTTTGTTGTGATTTTGAGTAAAGAAATTTGCATCCTCAGTTACTCTCTATTTCATAACTTGATTTCTTTGTATTTTATACTTTGATATTTTTTTTCTGACTATTTCCTCCGTGACTATGCTCATGACGAAAGTCACGAGGATAGGGTCGTCGATGAGTGGATGCGAAACCGCGCTTACGTTCTTGCATGCCCAACCTTCATCTTCCACGGATGAACTGTTGCTGTATTCGACTTTCACGCGCAGGTTGTCAATGGTGATAAACGGTTGATTGGCTTCGATAAACTGCCGTGCATGTTCGACACTTGTAAACTTGACAAAGGCAAATCGGCGAGATAAACCTTAAACACAATAATGGCGATGACAATAATACGGTTTTGATTATGACTTGTTAGCAATATGAAGACTGGCATAAAGTGAATGATGAAGAGTTCATGATGAGATGAAGGTAAAAGCAGAAAGCGGGGATGCATCTATAAACAGATAAATTGATAAATTGATAATATTTATACTATAAGAACCTGTCTTGCGATCTCTGATTAGTCGAATGTTTTCTATGCTGGCGTTTAGGCTATCCAGAACTTGCTGAATCTATAAAAGCAAACAGGAAATGTTAAAACGTCTGCTGTAAACAACAAAGCGTGCACATAATAAATTTGCTCCGTTCGTACAGCATGCTCGGTTGTTTGCATTGACAATCCTTGCAAAATCACATGGTTATTCGGCTCACTCGGATTTCTGTCTCTCCAAAATCCCTATACTCGAATAATACAGTATCATAATCAGTATCCTCTGTTCCAGGCTCTTTAAGCATTCTTTTATATGTGCAATTTAACAAATACTTTCAATAGCTATGCTTCTCCATACCGTTTCCTTGTCCAGTTCCCTTCTCTCAACACTAACCTCAGGCCCTTTAAACCCCTTTCCTTTTCTCCTCTTTCCGCTATCGTCTCGATCGTCATAATGCTCCCTTCCTCCCCACCTTTCTTCTCTCCTGTTTGCATAATCTTCTTTCCAATGGTCATATCTACCATTAGATCTATGTCTATCGGGACTTCTCGACCGGCTACGCGATCGTCTTGGACGATAGTATCTATCGTCGTCCCGGTAATCTCGGTCTCGATCTCGATCTCTGTAATCTCGCCCATAGTCATAACGGTAATCGTTGCGGTAATGTGAGCGGCCGTAGCGTGAGTCAGACATATTGGTGGTTAGCAAGTGTGTGTGAAGGTTAATAGAACAAAACCAGGCCTGCGGTGAGCTGCAGACAAAGTGAACATATGACGTCATATAATTAAATACTAACATCAATAACAACGGAATTGAATTGTTCTCTTTCTCTACTAGTTTGTTGCTTGTTTTGCTTCAATTTTCGGATTTAGATAAGTTACAGAGCTGGAAAGGTAATCGTTCGTTTTCTTTGGAACCTGCACGCTTATTACTAACATGTAGTGCTCGATTATACTATGTTTAAAATTAAATTAAGTGCTAATTCAGCATCATAATAGTTACTATAGTAATAGAGAGGTTTCTTTAATAACTTCGCTGCTTCTTTACATGACTCAAACGTTAATATGATATTAAAATCGGGACAAGCATATTTATTTATAATTCTTTCATTGTCTGCTCAAATTTTGTTATCCTTTAAAAGTATTATTTAGTAATAGTAAACGGTGATTAAAAATTGAATCAATTGGTAATATGGCAGTCATCTTTATGTTTCGCCAACAATGTTACAGTACCTTTATTAGGCTAGACTTCTGGCGCTTCTTGTTAGAACGTCAGATCAGCTTTAATTCATGTTTGCATGTAAATGAGAGGTTGATTGGCTTGGAATGCAGGATTTGTACAGACCTAATATAATATACTAATTTGCAGCTAATATTATGGGAAAGGATATTAATTAATACTGCAATAATCATTAACGAAGAACATGGCATTAAAGAAGCTATCAGATCAAAATTGTTCAGTAGTTATTCTACCGCGTTATTGACATTTTCAAACGTACAGTTGACAAAAGATGAATATATTTAAAGACTCAACGTCATACGGACGGCACCCAATAAGGCCTTATTTCTAAAATAGGCTTGATTAGCCTAACGCTAATAATCCTTTTGATGCAAGTTTTTGCGTGTTTTTGACTATCAGTCAGACTGATGCCACTACAATTCTTAGAGGCTATATAGTAGTAGTATTGGTGAGGTCTGGTTTGCATCAATAAAAGTGAGCAACTTTCTTGTTGCCAGGTTCACTTCATTGCCATTTACGGAGTGTCCAATAACGTTATGTTTTTTCTTCAGAAGCGGTGTAAAACTGTCTGAAGTGAATTTATTGTCTATGATTTTTGATTGGACTCATTCACTGGGAACGAGTATAAGAAATTCCTTAATTGGACGCGTCGAATATTTTATTACCCTTTTATAATTAATACACTCTCGACTAAGGATTATTATTAGTTGTTGTTCTAATAATAGTTATATTCTTGTGCGTCGTTGTTGCTGTACGGAAGTGTCTATTGCCGTTGGGCCAGATTACGGAAGTTAGATTAATATCTAGCTGTAGTTAAACGGACGCTGGAGTATCAGACCAGACAGGAAAGAATAGTTCAATTATCGATGCAATATATTTTATTATTACTTTATTATTTTTATTTATTTATTTAAATAATTCAGCACAACATTCAAGCGTGACTTTATACCTTAGCAATAAAGAGCCGCCCGCAAAATTTAGCTACGCCTTAATTGACGCGAGTGTGTAAGCTTAGAGCTAAATTTTGAGAATATCCCCCAGACACGAACGCACCCCCAGGTGACTGAACGTAACACTGGTATGTCCTTTAGCATATTCTCAAATTTCACGTTTTATTGTCTAGACTCAGTTGACATACTTTGGATATTACGAGAAGAATTTTTTCCCCCTTAATGTATTAAAACGATGTCAGATATTTACGAATTAGAGCTTAAGTCCACAACCTCGTAATTTCTAATATTATTAGAATAATGTTACTGCCGAAAATTTTGTTTATTGCATCATTTTCCGCGGGAGAATGCTTTGGTCAATGGCCGAGAGGATTGTGTAGCAAATTATTATTAACGATATAAAACGATTAAAACATAATAAAAAAGGTTGGTTTTTTCCCCGAGATTCCCGAATTTGAACGTCAAGACTCCGAAAATGTCAAATTTAGATAATGACGCTTCATATCACTAAAATTAAGAGCTACCAAAACCCCATAATGTTGCCGCTATTGAGAAATTCCTGAAGAACCGCAGTGCCTAAATAGTAACGCCACAGTAAATAAAGATGCGAGGCCGTACTATTATTATATTTAATACTGACAAACTAATCTGGAATGATTCTCTGTATAACATGTTCGACATTGCTCCTCCATCTCCACCATCCTTCGGATCTGAGCTATAAGATAGAAGCTATGGCCATGATGCGCTTTCAATTTAAATGGTCAATGTATCCTATTCACCACGCCAACATTTACCTTCGGCTTTGTCGTAACAAAGAAGAACGTTGTGTATCAGGAGACTACCAAATGTATCCTCTCTCTTCACCACACCGAATTTACCTTTAGCTTCGTCGTAACGAAGCTTCGATTTATTTACACCCTATATGCTTTCGAAAACACCTCATGGCAGGATACAACTCTTACCTTACAGGAGGTATTATATCTTCCCTTGTCATAAAAGACTAGTAACAGCATCTTCCAAGCCCTTTCCTTGACAGGAGTTACCGTATTTCTCCGACATGTATGTATACTATACCCTGCAGCAATTTGAACATGATTTATACCGGGGTACTCGTTATCGTTATCCAGCACACATATATTAATATCTCCCGTGATTTGTAAATTTTACTTGTGAAATGTATGATTATTCCCAAATACTATCGCCTCCGACTTCTTCAATCATGATGGAATTTATCTGCAGCCAATAGAAGTTTAAAGAAACAAATCGAGACACATGCTGGAGAAATACGGTAATTACGGTAGTCGAAGGGCATTCTATCAAAATGTCACGCGTCCATATTAATGTCTAACCGATATCAAAAACCTTTCCCGATGGACATGTGGACATACAGTGTGTAACAAAAAAATGACAAATTATAAAATGCGTGTAAAATGCTAAGTTTATAAACAATTTACAACGCGTTTTTATAAAATAAATAGTATCTCCTAAGCTATTTGTAAACAGATTTTCAACTACCTTTATCTTGTATTATTCCCGGAAAAAATATCACTGAAATGCCATCATCGATTCAAGAAAGACAACGCCAAGTCATATTATATTTTTGGATACAGGGCGTAACCAATGCGAACGAAATACATCGCCATTATTTACAGAAATGTGAAAAAATCAAATACAAGAGGTAATAATGACAGAAAAAAGGAAAGTGGACGTCCTAAAAACAATGCGGCAATATTTGCATCGTAATCCAATGCTGTCTACTCGAACATTGGCAAGTAAGTTACTAGTAAATGACACAGATGTATTACATATGACCAATATCACGACATTTGGCTAAGTTAAATTATGAAAACAGTCTTCTCTTAGCTACCCCGATCTCTTACTTAATTTCTCAAACTCTATGAGAAGCAGATGTGAGCAAGTTATTCAAAATAAAGGAGTTGGATCGATTAATTATTAATGTTTAGAATAAAGACAGCCACTTTCAAGCTTTAACGGACAATTTTCTGTTTGCACATTTATATACCCGTTCTCGAACAATGAGAATTATTATTTTTTTTGTTACACACTGTATATAAAAAATTGTACACCAATTATAATACCGTAACTCTCTTGAATAAGGACTACCTTTATCATGTGATGTCTTCGTTTATTACAATATAGTCGGTAGACAATGAGGGGATTAAGGGGTTAGTTATTTTGTTACATTACAGGCCCTTATTCATGGTAGGAATTTAATCCTTTGGCGAAGCTGCTCCTGCTTCTCCAACCTGCATTTAATACTGACATTATCAAGTCAGTTTGTTGAATGTAAGAATTGGAGAGTTTACGGTATTCTTTAATATTGTCTAGTAAATAAATTTTCATCCTCGTTTTCATTACTACAATGTCTAGTAATACAAACACGATCGCAATTATATTATATATGGGACCTGTGGTTATTTTAATATGTCTAATGTTCTACAATTTTCCAACACGTCTTTCCAATGTCTCCATATGATTAATTTATTTTGGCGCCCTTGGCAGTAATTTCAACTAGTTTGCTACTCTCTTCGGAACTGGCGATTCACTGCCCTTCTGGAGACTGGCAGCAGGCCCTCAATGTTGATGTTGCCTTTAAATTTCAGCACCACAAATTCCCCAATTAAACTAGTATAGGAAATGGACCTGGTGGTAGGGGTTTGGTTGGAGATGGGAAAACGTGTCGGGGGAAAGATTTCGTTCTTGGCTAAGAAATTAAAACGCTTAGAGAAAACATTAAAATTTCACACTACCATCGGTATTTGTCTACAAGGTTCAACCAAATTTAAAGTTTGTTTAAGTTTCCATAATCAGAGTTTTCGTTATTATTATGACCCTTGCGGACAAATAAAAGGCCGGATTTTTCGAATGGCGCGATTGTTTCGGGTTACGGGATATACTCAATTAGCGGACACGCTTCAACTTTTGCTTTTTCCTTTCCTATGATGCATAACTGAAGCGATAAAAAAGACTAAACTTTAGCGCTAACCTGAATAATGATATTAATATCAAGAAACTCAACAATCTATTAAAGTCATTCTGGGAAGGAAGATAACGTCAACAATGCCAACTGAAAACCGTTAAAGATAGGCTAGACAGCAATTTCTGGATTGGAACGCTGGTTTTGTATGCGTCTAGAGTGCACTGTTACTAGCAGCTTACTCAATCGAGTGACGCTGTGATCACCAGACGATCAGGTGAAAGTTAGTGGTTTGCCAAAGAGAAAGCAACAACCGATGCGCAGGGGTTAAGGCACAGTTAGATAATGCCAGACAGGGTTTAGAGACACTTGATACGTCCAGAAAAGAAATGGTAGTCATAAAAAAATATATGCAAGGAATAGATAAACTTTGCTTCTCAACACAAGGTCATGGATGGTTTGATAATATTTAATATTTATCACGTTTCGCGGTTAGAAGATAGGTGATCAA